ATGTCAAACTCGGAGATATGATCTAATTAAATTAATGAATGGAGAGATAATTAAAGGGCTTATGGAATCAGCCTAGTAAATACCAGCTCAAGCTATTTTTTTTTATTACCAAAAGATAGATTACCTGGTGCCACGACAAGGATACGATTCATATTTTCATTGTCTCTCTGTTTTTTTCTTTTGCCAGTTCCAGTCTATCTTTTTCTAGCTGCATCCTAATCCAATTATTTTGCCAGTTCTAGTCTATATGGATTCTGATGGCTCTTAGCTAACATAAGGGACCCTTTAGATCCAGTTTACTAAGTTCTTTTGTTTGAGTTTGCTATGATTTATCATATCTTCTTCTCTCGACTTGTCCTCCAAATTGTTTGACAGGGCATCAGAAACATAAGGTACCCACTGCCTGTATCTTTACTTTAAAGCTTTGTTAACTTGCAGGTGATTCTTTTTCCATCATACGCATGTCACAGTCCATCTACCATATATCCTATTTAATATTCATCTTCTTTTCTTATTGCTCTAAATTTGTGATTGGGGACCACTAAAATTTGTTTTTTCCTTTCTTATTTAGAAATTTTTAGATGAGTGATTGTTCAATCCCTTTCAGTTGGGGATTCTACAAACATGTAGACAAGCTCTAGTGAACTATTTTCTAGGTTTTTCTATATTTTGCTAGATTTGTTAGTTCTACTTATTATAAATTTCTAGTTTAAGTACATGGTAATTGCTTTCATACTGTGTCGACACATTTCATTCTGCTTTAATTGTCTTGGCATCATATGCTTGCTGCAATGCTATATGCTGAGTTTGAATATAAGAATCTCTCTTTATATGACGATTTTCAAGCATGCTTAGATCCATCCAGCTTGCTGTAGTTTAATCAACTTCCCTCTTTCATGTGATATTGTTTCTTTCTCTTATAGGTTTTCTTAACGAAACATTATAGAAACAGACGACTAGGTGATGCAGAATTTGTTCTCGACTTTGAAGAAATTTATGTCATTGACTCAAAAACTAAATCCATTACAAGAGCTAAAGTCTTGGTAAGTGATCTTTTTATTAGCTGTTTGTCAATTTTATATGTCATCGCAGAATGTCTTTCGATTCTATCCTTTTGCGTTTAGCTACTGATGTTTCGTATATGTTTGTGTCTTTTATTAACAAAATTAGAGCTGACATACCACAAGAATAATGTATTCAAATATTAATACCGACCCGAGGTTGGTAAAATTTTATTTTTTAATTTCCTACCTAGCCACTAAACTTTTTCTCCTGTTTCCTACCTATCCAGTGACCTGCTTATTTTTTCCTGCTCCATCCACTTGTAACTGGTTCTATCGGCTGCACCCAACTTGTCAAGCTATTGTGGTTATTATCAAGTACAATGTGAGAGTTTTTCTTTGGATGACAACTATTGTGTAATTGAATCCAGAAATCATATACACATCTTCGTAGGAACTGGTTAATAACATTAATAATGGTTATTTATATTTAAGCCTATATGACAATCTAAAGATTGAAATTTAATAGACCAGCATCCTCATTTACATAGACATTCAAAATGTGGGAAGCACAAAAGGAGAATTGGAAAATGTTACTCAAAGATGCAGATTAGTATTAGTATTTAGGTGGCTATTACATTACCAAAAGTTGATGTAAGATTGATGTATTGATCTTTAAGTCACAGGTCATTTTGGTTAGATGCCTTAATGTGGCAGTGGTACTCTTTTTAGGATATTATGTGTTATATGTCATCTCTGCATGTTTCTTTTCACAATATCAATGTTCCCTCAAAAGAATATTCGTCACTTCATGCTCAAGGAACCTTGGCTTATAGAAACATTTAGTTACTTTGATGATGTGTATTTTTGGTGACAGGTTACTGTGACAGGAGGGAGAAACAGAGATAGGAGGAATGATCTTTTGATCATACGTGATGGTGGAAACCTATTCAAAATTATTGATAAGGTACTGTGATCTTTATGATTTGCCTCTGCTAATCTTTTGTGATATTTGCCTAATGCCTGGAACTTATTTTAGAGTGAAAGGGATGATCCAACCACTGTCATAGAGAGAGAAGAGTGGGCAAAGACCAGACAAGAGATGGAGCATCACCTTCGGAAGCTTCGAGACTTCAGTGTTTCAAATTGGTTCTAAGGTTTGGGTCCTAATTCTTCTTTGTGAAGTTGAATGCATGGCTGCATATGCATATGGCTTAAGACCTGTACATCAAATGTCTGTTGTAGATTGCGTTATCCAGGTTTAGATTTCAAGTCGAATGTCCATGACAAGGTGGTATGGATGAATTATTTTACGCCCAATATTGTCTTCAACTCAAGTCAGAAATGGGAGGCCCATTCTCATTTAAGCAATATACGATAACTAATTAGAAAAGTCTCGACTATATTATTGTTGCACAAGATGTAATTACTACACTCATCTGGTGTCTTTGGCTTGATCATCCTTTACTTTAATCCTTCTATAATGACCTGAAATGTAATGATATGTCAAAGGAGTCATTCAATTCTTTAAATTAAGTATTATTGAAGTACGTCGTATTGTCAATGAAAGCCTTTAGAATGTCGAATCAAGAGATTATGTTTTCTTAGATGAATCTTTCTACTTTATTTTTTTGTTATGATTCTCAAGAGTTTGATTCTGCCTACTTGTGAAATAATTTATTCTAACTGTCAAGAACTTTTATTGCCTAGAAGTTGAAGGAAAGTGGCATCAATTTCACATTTCACAAAGGCCAAGCACAACTGATTGGGATGGCTCTACTGTAAGCAATCACTAGATTTGAGCATTTCATTAGCATCAGTTGTATCGTTATACGTATTCCATAACATCCTTTTGAAGGGTGGCTACTAGTGGTCCCATCGTAGGATCTTTGCATGCGAGGCAACAACCACTGATATATTCGACACTATTTCTTTCATTAACTTCAAATAAAATAGGGATGACCTCTTCTGGTTGTAGGCATCGTTAGGGCTGCATAAGTGGTCTCTAGTGTAGTCTATCATTCATGAGATGGTACTAAGGTTGTCACATGCCCTTAGTTACTTCAAGCCCAGGAATAAAAAGCTCTTCCTTGTCCCCATGTTTCTCTTTTACAGGTGGCACACACAAGGAATCGATCTCTGCCACCCGTTGCAAAGGCGAGGTCAAGCATTGATCAGCACTCTTTGTAAGCTCATCTTGCGTGCAAATAAGTTGGGGATTAAAAGAAAGGAAAACATCTCATGAGGCAGGTCAAGCTGGGTGATGGCAAGCAATGCCTCGTGAAGCCAACAAAAAAATGTTTGCCATCTTAGAACACACTTTCTTTTGCGCCTTCAATTATCAAAGACATCAGTGATTGTCTTTCTAATACATTATTTATTTATTTATGTTCCTTTTGTCGGTTGCTTTATTCTCGTTGCTTTTGTATTGACTTGACTTGAACATTTTAGGCAATGTATGGCAAACATTATAAAGCTCTACTGAAATGAGACATGATCATGATTATTAAGGCGATGCCAACATATTTTTGGAGACATGGTTAAAGTTTTCCTGCTTAATTCAGTAGCCAAAACAAAGAGAAAAAAACGAGTCATGTATATAATGATACTAACCTACATCGTCTAGTGGGCAGTTATGATCTTAGAACAATGATACTCCAAACAATAAAAATCGAAAATAGTCCCAAAAAATAGACTGAATTAATGGTGAAGTTAAAGAAGAAGAAATTAAGAAGACTCGAGCTCAATTCGAGTAAGACTTGAATTAAGAAGACTTTAGTAATTAGGAGTCCCCCACGTGGGATTAAGAGCTAAATTCTAATTGAAAGTCCTCTAGTTAGAAGTCTAAGAGTTTCCTTGCATATGATTAGAGTTGGACTTCGATCAAGAGTCCTTCTCTAATTATGAGTTTTTTTCCCCCTCTATACCATTTTATAGAGATTAGATCTATTCATCATTTTATAGGGGAGTAATTAGATCTATTCATTATTTTAATCCCTATTATGAATTTTAGCTCTAATTCATAATATGGATTAAAATGATGAATAGATCTAATTAAGTAAATAGAGCTAAAATTTGTATATGATCTAAGATAATTAGATTTCATTAATTTCTGACTCTAATACCAATTGTTAGAAATTATTTGTAATGCGAAAAATAATTATGTCAAGGATTAAAATTTGATATATCTTAGATCATATGTTTATACTTATGTTAAATCAAAATATCTTGATATGTTAAATCGAATTAGCCTCTGTGCCTCTCCCTCTTATAGGAAAGAGGATTAAGTATAGAAAGACATCAGATAATATCAAAGATTGGGATGCACATAAATATCGATATTTAAATCTTTGATTAGAATTAAATTATTATTTTTAATACACCTTATTAATGAGGTTATGAGTCATATGGTTAACACCTATCCCAACTTGGTTGATAGCTATACTTTTTTACTTCAAATAGCTACGCAATAAAGTGAGGATTTGATTATACTCCCCCCACAAATCTCTGATTAGATTTTTGTTATGGGATTGGGTAAATCGGTTCCTATATATTTTTTTATATTATTTTTTTTATAAACAAAAAATTTGGTGTTCTTAGTTGGAGGATTAAACAAAATCTTGTCTGAATTTAACATTTTTTCCTTTTTCCGGTGAGAGAAAGTGGATGGACTTTGTCGAGAGTGATGTCTATTTTTGAGGTTCTTTTTTGGAATCCTTTGCGTCTTTTGTTTCCTTTTACAAAGGAACCTTCTTTTTGGTCCATTTTTTTATGTTGGTTCCATTTGTTCATTGCATATCATCGAGGTCCAAGTAGATCAGTTGGTAGAATATTTACTTTTTCTAATTTTTAGGATTAAAATAGATTTGGTGTTGTTTGAATTGGGTCTTTTTTTATTTTACAGGTGACGTGGAATAATCGTAGATTCCAATGGTCTTTTTTGGATCCAATAAGAAATTTGATTTCTTATGGAAAAATTATTTCATATTTTTGTGTTACAAATTAGAATCATATTTGGAAATCAGAAATCTTTTGAATTTTCTACATCTTTTGATATAAAAGTTTCAGCAGTACATACAAGCTTTTCAGCAACTTCAATCATTCATATTATACTGTAATATTTCTCTAAAAGATGGTCATCTCTTAAGCGTGCATCATCAACGTGTAATGACGCCGTGTATCATCTTTTCTTCAATGGCTTTTAACGTCCTGTTATCCTGCAATTGCTCAATCGTGCTCTTTTCCTTTTATCTGTTTCCTCTTTTACAATGCTTTCATTTCCATCTCCAGCCCTCGGAAGAAAAGATTTCTTTTTACTGAATCGCTCTATTTTTTTGGCGTTTCCAAAAAGTTTCGTGTCGTCGACAGCAATAGAAGTTCCGATGCTCCCAAAGGAAACAAGTGACTTTGACAAGAAAAAAAGAAATTAACCGGAGAAAATAAATAGATAGATACAATCCTAATGGGTGAGATAAGCTCTCTTCTCTTATTTGTATCTATAGTTTCTTGGGCAAAATGATCAATTCCTAAATATGCACCATTTAATTTACAACGATGCTACCTAAAAATGCACCATCACTTGGGAAATATGCCCCACATCAATTCCTCTTTGGTATGATACATACTTGAAGTTGTTTACGAAAAGGATGCTACCTAAATAATCAAAAGAGCTGTTTACAAAAAGGATCAGCCAGAGAGTGATGACCCCTCCGGATGCTGTTGTTAGAGGAGTTTGAAGCCCGTCTTGACGAGAAAAGAAGTGGACTTAGTTTTTGACTAAAATATCTAAACGGAACCCAATTAGTTATTATATTATATATCTTATTCAATTATAAAAGGGTCACATAATCTAACATTCTCCCACTTGGCCCATTAATTGATATGATATAAAATACTTTTCAAAATTCCTTGGAATCTAATTAGGTAAAATTATTTTTTAAATAAATTTTATTTTATTTATTTTGATTTTGAATATCTCTTTTATATCTTATCAATTAATGGGCCAAGTGGGAGAATGTTAGATTATGTGGCCCTTTTATAATTGAATAAGATATATAATATAATAACTAATTGGGTTTCAGATATTTTAGCCAATAAACTAAGTCCACTTACGGAACAATTTATCAGTGCTCTCGCCTATAAAAACTCTAGGGGTTGAGAGAGCGTTGGCATTACGTACATATGCACCTCTCCGTTAGGGATTTCAGTTTCTCTCCCCAAAACCCTTTTCTCCCCAAAATCCATCAATCTCAATGGGTCCTATGAAAGGATAGGAAGAGAGGAGAAAGGATCTATTCCTTAGGTGCTTGCAGCAATCTTGCAGATCAAAGACGGTGCTTAGCAGATTAACCGAGATCTCTAAAGAGATGACATCAAAAGGTACGCATCGTTAAATTAGATCTATACACTTGATTTCAATCCTGACATACAAGTTATTTTCGTATTTCAGATATAGCATAATTATAGATTTTATGCTTACAATTGTAAACATAAAGTCTATAATTATGCTATATCTAAAATGCGGAAATAACTTGTATGCTAGGATTGAAATCAAGTGTATAGATCTAATTATTACGTCAGAGATCTCGTTTGATCTGCTAAGCACCGTCTTTGATCCAAGATTGTTGCAGGCACCATCTTTAATCCAAATCCGCTGTAGAATCTGCAAGGAGTGCAAGGAATAGATCCTTTCCTCTCGGAGCCTGTCCTTTTATAGGCGAGAGCAGAGCAGAGGGTCTACGATGAGATCTCAGAAGATTTCCTCGAGGAATCGTTCCGTAAGTGGACTTAGTCTATTGGCTAAAATATCTGAACGGATTAGTGATTATATTATATTTCTTATTCAATTATAAAAGGGTCACAAAATCTAACATTCTCCCACTTGGCCCATTAATTGATAAGATATAAAAGAGATATTCAAAATCAAATAAACAAAATAAAATTTATTTAAAAAATAATTTTACCTAATTGGATTCCAAGGAATTTTTTTTGAAAAGCATTTTATACATGGCCATGTTTTAAAATAAACCAATAAGTCCAACAAACACAATAATACTATATTAAGTCCAACTATCAATGCGAGTCATAGCAGTTGTATTTCATCAATGTCATACTCCCTTCTATATATCACAACATTGTTAGTCTTTCCTAATATAGTCTATAATGACCCCTGTAATTTGTCTTGTCAAGACAATCCTGTTATTACATTCAACCATAATATGCATAAACATAAATATAAACAGGATAGCAGAAACAGATAACTTTAACCAAGAAGAATGTCAATAATAGCATCCACATAAACATACATCACCATATCCTTTATGACTTGCTCACAAGCCCCATTCTAAGAACATGTTCTTTGAATATTTTACACTGTAAGGCTTTTGTCAATGGATCAGCAATCATCATAGTGGTGCTCAAGTTCTCAATTGACACTTGTTGTTTCTGGACTCTTTCTCTAACCACCAAGTACTTTATCTCAATGTGCTTGGAACCACTAGAATACTTGCCATTCTTAGAGAAGAAAACTACTGCAGTGTTATCACAAAATATCTTCAGCGGCCTGGTAATTAAGTCGACCACACCAAGTCCTAAGATGAAATTTTGTAGCCATAAAGCTTGATTTGTGGCCTCAAAGCATGCCACAAATTCAGCTTCCATTGTTGATGATGCAATAAGCGATTGCTTTGCAC